CCCTAAAATAAATTATTATATTAAAATATATACATAAATTTGCATTATTGCTGTAAATTATTATATTAAAATATATATATAAATTTGTATTAGTGTTTATAAGAATGTTTGCTCTACCTTATGTGTTGCTTTCGTTCTACTTTCAACGTTCGATGACACCGTTTTATGACACTAATTTTACTTTGATACTACATTTTTCTTTAATATTAGCTTAAGAAATAAAGCTAAAGTCTATAACTATTTATGATTTTTTTTATTGACTTTATGTACGTAGATATGTTTGCATGTTACTTTAATATTACCGTTGAGAAAGAAATAGAATCAAGTTCTATAACTAATTACACATTTTTTTTTTTATATAACAAAGCTAAGAAAGAGAACCAAGTTCTATGACTAATTACGCTTTTTTTTCTTTAGATGCCTTAATACGTATTTTTCTATTTATTAAAAGTATGCGTATAAAAATAAGTTAATTTTATGTACAATGTAATGATTACATAATATTATCTTTATGCACGCATAGCTTATTTTAATATGTGCATAATTCTATTACCATTTGTAGTATAATGCAATTATATACGTAAAAAGTATAATAAAAATCATATAAAAAGAAGAAAAATTGTAATTAATAGAGTTTGGATTTTTTCTCAACTTTAATAACAGTAATATTAAAGAAATACATATTTCTTAAGCAAAGTAGTGTTAAAGTAAGACTAGTGTTGAAATTGAGACATAAAAAGCCTTCGTAACGTAATCATATAGAAGCTAAGCCACGTGATAACATAGTATAGCTGTGAGCTTCAGCAATTGTCTACATTTTAAATTGTCTATTTTCCGAAATGCCAAAGTGTTCCTCTTGCAATAAAATTTTTACAGACTGGCAAGCATTGGGTAATCATTTAAAAACACATTTATATGACAGCGATGAAGATTCACCTTTACCAAGTCAATCTACCCACAGAATTTCACAAAATTTAGCTGAAATTACAACATGAATCCTTAATAACCAAAACATATCTAAAAGACAAAACGTAGCTGAAGGAACTGAGACAAATAATAAAAAAAAACGTTTTGCACATAGGTTAGAAAATAGACAGGAGGGGGTTATTTCTAATGTGGATGAATCTATTGAAACCCAAAATATTAATATCCTGTTTTTCAATTTTACAAATAACATTGAAATTTATGATGAATTTATTGAAAAGGAGGATTTGGAATATTTTAGTAGTAGTGATTCTCAAAGCATTGCATCTAATGAAGAATCTGATCTGTCAGATATAACAGAAGTTGACATTAACGAATATATTGAACATAATGATTTGCACGCTGGTAAACAAAAGGACTCTGAAGATATATATCAGAAATTTTCTTCAAAAGAATACGCAGAGTTTATGTATATGATTACAAGGTTCCACATGCAAGATCTTCTCACCAATGCATTCATAAGGTTCTTTAACAGATATTCGAATTGTGATGATAGTCCATTACCATCAACATCACAAACTGGACGTAAGTTTGTTGAAAACCTTGACCTTCCAAATTTTGGCTAGAGAAAGGAAGCTATTTTTGAGTATGAGGAGTTAGAATATACTCTTGAGTTCAGGACGGTGCTTGATGGAATACGCCAAATACTATTAAACAAGAGTATTACGAACGAGTTTATATTTGATTTTAAGCTGTCTATCAATACTGTAAATAAATCTATTATTTATTAATTTGGATGTAATAATCATACACGGGTTCACATTTAAACCAAGGATTCAAAGACCACTTCGCTTAAATATGGTCCAATGTATAATTAGTTTATTGTATTTTTATATAATAAAGTAATTATTTGACCACTGCTAATCTTTTTTTTTTTTTTGCAACTAAAGGTATCTGGTGAGCGTTTATATTCAGACATATACAATTTCAACTGGTGGAAAAACGTGGAACAAAATCTCCCAATTGGAGCATATGTAATGCTAATAATTCTTTATTCAGATGCTACCCTCTGTGACCATTTAGGAAAGACGTTAAGGCATCCTGTGTTTATGACACTTGGGAATATTCCTTTGGCCCGCCGAAATAAGGTTGATGCAAAAGTTTTGCTTGGTTACATTCTAAATCTTGTGCATTACAGTACATCTGATAAACAATCAGCCCAATTCCACTTAGCAAGACGCAAACTTTTTCATAATGTGCTTTCGGCCATGCTTAGACCCTTAAGATCTCTAAGCAATACCGGTATCCACCTATATGTCAATGACAATCTCAAATGGTTTTATCCATATTTGGCACTCATAATTTCAGATTGGCCCGAAGCATGCGCGATGTGTGCAACTTACAGTTCACCAAATTCATTACACCTGTGTCATTTCTGCTTAGTAGACCGTAATGCAATGAATAATGTCCACATTGAAAAAACAAACATAATTATCCGTGACGAAGTTACAGTTAAAGGTTTTTTACATCAAGGCAATAGTAAACAAATTTCTGTACATAATGTAAGAAATGCCTTGTGGAAGCGGCCATAAGTAATTATATGAATTAAATTTTAATTATTCAAAAAACATTATTCGAAATAATTATAATTCATAATAATAGTACTTATATTAATAAATTTGTTCATAGATTCTTTAATGTTTATACTATGTGTGTGCCTGATCGTATGCATCATGCAGGCCTTGGACTTTTTAAATATCAATTGCAATTCACGGTCAAACTGTTAATTTTACGATATGGTAATGGTCCAATAAAGAATCTTGAGGAACATCTTTCTCGAATTCCTCGCCACCCAAACCTTAAGGTTTTCAAAAATGGTTTTGACAAATTTAAGCAATTAACTGCGGCAGAATATAGGGATTTAATGAAAATAGTGTTATTCGGCTTGGATGGGTTAATACCTGACAAGAAACTTAATAAGAATTTGTGCAACCTATTTTTATTATGGATTGACATGTATATATAGAGTTGTCAATCCAAATACACCAAATCAGATATGAATGATTTTGAGGTAAACTTATTAATAAGGCCACTTCTAGTTGATTTTTAGGTTAACGTCGATATTTAGGTTCAGGCATGGGGGGAATTTAAATAAACACATATAGTCCCAAGAATTTTTCATTGGTTAACATTAATCACATGATTAATGAAGTTTATGCTGCATTGTAATTGGCTTGTTTAATTTTTGGGAGGAGGCAGTTAAACAAGGGGAGAATGACGTTAACCTAAAAATCAACTAAAGACGGCCTAACAATGATTCAATTGAAAATTAATAAGAAATATTTTCATTATTTTTTTTTATTTCTATTTTTTATCCTAACAGAAATCAATTGTTGCATGGAGTGTTATGTTTATAGAACTTCTGTCAAAATTTTCTCCATCCAACCTAAATTTGCCCAAGTTACACAGTTGGCGATTTCATTTAATATCGTCAATTTGTCAGTTTGGGGCTATTAATGGTTTTACAAGTAAGACATACGAATTACTACATAAAACCAATGTAAAACAGCCATACCGTAATACAAATAAACACAACATAAATACACAAATGCAAGCAACTGAAAGTATGACTAGTGATGCCAATAAAATGATTTTTAAGCAGAAATCACTAATATCAGTTCATTTTTGAAAATTTTAAGGTAACCCGTCAAAACATCTTTATGTCTCTTGTGTCAAAGTTTCAATCACAGTCATGTAAAGTCTCACATCATGGAATTACATCCAAAATAATAACTAAACAGATGACACAGCATACGATTGATCAAATTGTAGATCAGCTAACTACATCAAGTTTAGATAATTTATAGGTGCACGGCATTGGACAACTTAAATATTGCATCCACGATTATTTTCTAAATATTGAAAACTGGTCATTACAGGATATTGAGAATGAAACTATCTTAATTAAAGCATTCGAGCATGCTTATTTAGATAACGATTATAAGGTAATTATTCGTACATCCTCTAGCTATTATGGACAGAAGGCTTTCTCAGATGTTTGTGTTGAAATGGATGAATCAGAACAAAATGATTATCTGACAGATGGTGGCTTATGTTACACAAAGGTATATATTAACTAAGATGCAACTTTAAAAGCATATGGCACATTTTATATATTTGAATGCTACTCAAATCGCATTTCAAAATAAATATTCTAATTGTGTATTTTTTATTTTTAGGTTCTTCTAATTCTCCGAATTACATCTTCAAAGTTAAATAAGAAACTCAAACTTGCCCTCGTCTATTGGTATGATTTTGCATACCCATCCAATGTGAATCGTTACTATTTTTATAAATGTGCGATTCTTAAACATGTTAAACATTATACTTTAATTCCTATCGCTTCAATTACAAACATAGTACATGTTAAACATTATACTTTAATTCCTATCGCTTCAATTACAAACATAGTACATATTATACCAAAGTTTGATGAAACAGATATTTTTTTTGTAAATAGATATGCTGATTTTTCTATTAAATAACTATATGCATGTTAATAGATATTATTTTAATAATTATTATTGCTAGAAATTAGGGTTATAGCATTCTTGCCTATGGTATACAATTTATCTATCTTTTTTACAAAGTCAAAAACAGGATTAGTAAAATTTCAATATTTTTATTAAAAAAAATGTATTACCGCTCTATTAAAACCACAATTAGTTCTATAGATCAAGCAGTCTTTGCATTACCTAATCTATCTTATGTTCTTTAATAGTAAACCACTTTACTAGAGTAAATAACATCCATTTAAGTTATCCACCA